ACTGAGCAACAGTGATGCTGTCTGAGGAGGCTCCTTTGCAGGGGCCTGGCAGGGAGGAACACCCTTACTGGTGGGAGTGGAGGGGACCACGGTTCATTTGCAGCCAGGCTGGGAAGGGGGCAGCCCCTCTCCCGCTCACAAGGGTGTCTTTCCTCCCAGCCTGCGTTTCTACGTCATCATGACCAGCCAGCGGGAGCTCTTCCCCCGGCTCACGGCCGACATGCGGCGCTTCAAGAAGCTGCCCCGCTTGCAGCGGGAGGTGCTGGAGCCTGTGGTGGGCCGGGCYGCGTGGGAGGCGGCGGAGCCGGAGCCGGAGCCGAGCCTGGCGCAGCAGCAGCCGGCGGAGCGGGAGCTGTGGCAGGACGTGGAGGACAGCAGCGAGTTCTACGCGGGGGGCCCGCAGGTCAAAGTGGGGCCTGGCCTCTTCTACACCTCTCCACTCTTCCCCTTGCTGGCCTCCGAGGTGGCCTCAGCCCAGAAGCAGCTCAGCAACATGGTGCAGCTGGCCAAGTGCCACTGCCGCAGGGACAACCTCTGGAAGCGTCTTTTCCTCCTGGAGCCTCTGGCTTCTGACAAGCTGAAGCTGGGCAAGCTGTCACTGGTGGAGCTGGAGGAGCTGCTCGACGCCGTGCATGGGAAGTCCATCGCCGATGTTGACCCCCAGCTGGTGAGCAGAGGGGCGACAGAGCCCTGCTCTGGGGAGGGAGCGGGGGCGCAGCTGAAGCCCTGCGGCGTGTCTGCCTGCTTGGTGGGGAGGCAGAGGCAGGAATGTRCCTTCCAGTGGGTGAAGGGGGAGGCTGCCCACACCTCCCATGGAAAGTGGTCCTGGCTCAGAGTGCCTCTGAGCTCCGAGGGATGTGTCCCTTTAGGGGTGTCTGGATGCTTTAGTGTTATGACTGCTGATGACCTGGCTGGAGGGAGGCTGAGACCAGACCTTTTCCTTGCCCACAGGGATGCTTCCTCACCATGACGGTCTCCTGGTACCAGAGCCTCATTAAAGTGCTGTTGAGCCGCTTTCCCCAGAGCTGTCGGCACTTCCACAACGCTGAAACGGGCACTCAGTACCTGGTAAGAGCCAGCCTGTCACCTGCCCCCAGCTTCATCCTTCCTGCCTAATGCTTGCCTGCAGGAAGCTCGTCGGGATGGCTTGGGTGCTCCAGGATGTTCTCTGCTCTGGTGCAGCGTGACGGGTGTGCTCCTGCAGTGCCTGCTCGTTGCCTCCGGGCAGGGAGGTCACTTCACCCTCCAGAGCACCCAGCTCACAGTTACTCAGTGTCCACCCCCAGCTTGGCAGTGCCACCCACGAGCCGGGCTGGGTTGCGCTTTCACCACTGCGCTCTGCTAGCAGCCCTGCCCATCCCTGGCTTCGTGCTTCCTTTCTGCCAGCATTTGCACTGTCTCTTTTCCAATGTGAGTTGTGGCTCTCTTGACAGGTTGTGCTTAACCAGAAATTTACGGATTGCTTCGTCCTTGTGTTCCTTGACTCCCATTCAGGAAAGACGGTAAGAATTTAAGAGTAGCTATATCTGCTCAGACCAGGAGTCTCTAAATTCATCCAGCAGTAGCCAAGAGCAGATGCCCATGGGGAGTGTAAGAGCAAGTCAGGATATGTGCAACACCTTCCCCGGATACCGTCCCTGCATCTGACATCTCCTAGGGTTGTTTTTAGAACGTGTTCTCAGTTGTCTCTTTCCAGGCKAAAAAGTCCTTGTCTGTTCAATCCAAAGCCAGACCAAACTTGGCCTGGCAGAAAAAGTGGTCACTAATGTTGCAGATTGCTTGTACCTGGGAGGAAGGACAGGGACCTGTGCTGCGGGGGTCCAAGCAAAGCCTGCTTGGGCCCTCAAGGCCTGTTTGGGCTTTCATCAGGTATGATGCAGATGTGATGTTCTCACAGGGAGTGCAGCTTGTCTGATCCCCTTGTAAATAAGTTGCACCCCATTTTAAAAGCGAATAGGAGAGACAGAAGAGGTGCCTGCTAGAAGGCTGCTCAGAACCTTCCTGACAGCTGGTGGTGAAAAGCCCTTCCCATCTTGTGCTGACCTCTGAGATTCKGTCATGGCCAGTTTCATCCTCTCTCGCCAGCGGCAGCTCTGAGCTGAAGCATCTCTTCACTGGGCTGGTACCGGTGCTTCCCTCATCCCTAGGTTCCCCACCACATCTGAAAGAATTTTCTCCAACCTCTATTTTGTTGTGTTAAGCAAGCTGAGCTCTTCAAGACTCTACTGCTAAGAAAGGCCTTCCCTTCCCCGGTGACTTGGTTGTCCTTCATCACCCTTTCATTAAAGGTCAGCCTGTGTAAATGTGGATGTCCGGGGCTGTGGCTGCTCTTCCAGAGGAGTCTCACCAGAGCCCCCTGCAATTGCAGTCCCTCCTGGGTACTCCTGGTAGAGCCTGGGGTGRCATTAGCCTTTTCCTGGCTGTGTCACACTACTGTTTGTCACTCTGCTGTTTGCCACTGCTTGTGGTCACTGATGCACCCAAACCCTCTACTACTTTGTCACTTCCCCTCAGTAAACACTCATCTTGYAACAGAAAACCTTCATGTTCTTAACCTTGTGTTTTGTGCTTAGCATTCATYCCTTTCCTGTGGCCTCCCCACAGTCTCTAGGGTTTCTTTTTGTATTATCCCAATTCTCTTTTGTATTAGTGCTTCAAATTTTATCAGCATCTTTGTACCAGATTCATTATAACGTATGAGACAACGTGAGTCCCAAAACCTRTCCTGGAGGAATTCCATTTGTAACCTCTCTCCAAAGTTCTACTTCTAGCACTCCCAGTACTTTCAGCACTACCATCTTCACCTTATAATTTTTGCATTAATTCCTATCTTTTTCCGCTTACCTAAATTTCCCATGGGGCACCACATCAAATCCTTTCTGAAGCTCAGATAAGATACATCATGATTCCTTTGTCTGGTAATATTACCTTATCAAAGAAAACTCGAGGGTCCGATAGCACTTTGGTAAAACAGGGCTGCGCCTGCTTTGTGCTCCGTTCTTTCCAGGCCTGCTCCAAGGCCTTGGCACGCTGTTGGAGTTGGGCTCACAGGTCACTTTCCCTTCCCTCTGGAATGATAGCCGGGGCATTTGCTGCTGGGCAGACACACAGCTCTTCTCCTGACTTTAGGAGGTTGGGAGGAGAGGTTGCTGCTGGATGTGAAGTCTGTATTGCAGCTCTGGAGAGCCTCCTGTCCCCGCTGCGCTGATCTGCGAGTGCCCTGAGCCACTCACGTTTTCTCTTGTGCTTCAGCTTTTACAACCTCTTATGAAACCCCCTTCCCTGTCCCCTCTGCCCTTGCTTGGCCTCGTCAGTATAGTCATTAGGAGAACAGAGGTGCAGCTAGCATTTATTTTTGGAAGTGCGGTTATTACATTTAATCTCCTCCTCATCTTCATTTGTTGCACTCCTCCTCCTTGCCTTGGAAGAAATTTCCCTCTAATTTCCCTGGAGGCAGTAAGATCCTCTCCTCTCCCGAGGTAGCGGATGCAGGGTTTGTATGACCGCAGAAGCAGGGCCAAGGCAGGAGTGGGCCTGTCCTCACACCTGCTTCCCAGCAGGACCAACAGGAGGGGCCTGAAACATGGTCTGTCAGGGGGAGGCGTTAGCTTGGTGCCCTGGACATGATGTATCCCTGTCCCTGACCTGTCCCTTCCTGTCAGCAGAGCCTCACCGTGGTTTTCCGGGAGCCGTTCCCGGTGCAGCCGCAGAACAGCGAGAGCCCCCTGCCGCAGCTGGTGTCCACCTACCATCACCTGGAGTCGGTCATCAACACTGCCTGCTTCAACCTGTGGACAGGCCTGCTCTAGCTGGCACACGCACCGGCCCTCTGCGCGTCTGCGCCGGCGCTCGCGGCGCGGCGGGACAGGCGGCACCGCGGGACAGGCAGCACCGTGAGCCGCACACGGCGCTGCCCGAGCGAGGAGGCCGGGAACGAGCGAGGACAGCCCGGCTGCTCCACCGGCGCTCCGGCCCCTGCCGCGCTTCCCTGCTCGCCGGCTGCCGCCCTCGGCACGCGCCTGCCCCTGCCCTCCGAGCAAGGCTGCAGGCAAGCGAGTGGTGGCTGCGCGTGGGCTGCACGAGCGCTGCGTTCCCGCACGGCACGGGCACCTGCGCACCCTGCTCCAGGCAAAGAGGCTCCTGCACTTTAGGGCTCTGGGCAGCGAGGCCGCCCGCTTCCAGCCCTTGGCTTTTATCGCGAGGGCACTGAGACAGGAAGGGTGAACTGGACCAGGGGAAAGGGATTTTTTGGAGATGTACACTAAAGCCATTGCTATATTTGTGAAGTAAACTGAACCAGATACCCGCTGTGTGCKGCTGGCTAGGCCTTCACCAGGGCTGCAGGGGCAGCACTGGCCCTGCGGGCTGCCCCTTGCAGAAGCGACCTGGGGCGAGGCTGGCTGCATTTGCGCTGGAGTCTCATACTTGCCCTAGAGCAGCAGTAACGCGGTCCCCTGGCAGCACGGAGCGTTGCTGGGAAGGCAGCTCCAAGCCTGGCACCTCGGTGCAGTCACGGTGCTCAGCCCTACACTGAACCAGGGGTGTCTCAGGGAGCTCCAAGGTCACTTTGCTTCCCCCACCTGCCTGCAGGACTTGGCAGCTGACACRGTGCCCTGGCCACACAACAGCAGCCTCAGGAACTGCTGCATGTGGAAAAGGCAGGAGGGCAAAGTCCACAGTCCCAGTCCCGCTTCCCCTCCTTCCAGCTGCAGCGGAACTGGAAGAATCCCCTCCCTTRCGCAGCCCCGCCAGCCTGGTGCGCCAGGAGGAGGTGAAGATGCTCCTGGGAACCTGAAGTCCTCCTGCCCGCTCCCATGCGGCCCCAGCGTGACTTGTGGCAAACACAGCTTGAGCAGACGAGGCTCCAACTGTGGCTATGGGCCCAGGAGGSTGGCTGCCTTAGTCACGGCAAAGAGCAGAGTGTTAAAAAGGTAACGAGGACATAGAAGCTCTTAACATTGCTCTAGAAATAACCCCAGTCAAAMAGGGAACAGACTTGCTTTTCCGTTAGGGCCATTGATTCGACTTTTATTCCAGTGATTCCATTGTGTTTTATTCCTTTGTCTTTCTGGTCTCTCCGTGCTGCAGGCCTCGGCTCTCCCAGTAGGAGCGCAGCCAGCCCAGACCTTCCACGGTGTCTCCTGCAGCAAAGCGAGGGTTTTCTGTTGGCCCCCAGGCAAGCAGGAGCTGGTTTTCCTGCAAGCAGGGTCCTCAGCCCCAGGCTGGGCCCCTGTGCCCACAGAGCCCCCCAGGAGCTGCCACCTTCCTTCCTGCTGCCCACAAGCTGCTCTGTGCTGGGCTGCAGCCCTGCTCACCTCTGGGCGCGTACTCGCACCCCACGTAGCCGCTGTAGCCCAGGGACTCCAGGAGCTGGAAGAGGTAGGGGAAAKTGAGCTCCCCGGGGCTGTCGGGCTCGTGCCGCCCTGGCACCTGCGCAATCTGGATGTGGCCTAAGGAGAGAAGGAGAGGGCACAGGACGCTCTGTGCAGGGCTGCTGGAGGCAGCAGGCAGGGTGAGCCCAGAGCAGCCCTGCCAGCCACCACGCAGCGTGGGGAAAGAGAGCCCCATCTCAAAGCCTCTCCTGCCCCACGTACACGTAGGAGACTCCAGGTGCCCAGCCCTACCTATGAGCGGGAAGTACGTCTCCAGGTTGCGTGACAAATTCCCATCCATGATCTGGCAGTGGAAGATGTCCTAGGTGAGAGCAGACAGTGTTGGCTGTTTCGCAGCAAGCGGATGAGGATGGCAATAGTTGTGTTGCAGTCTCTCTCCCTCCCCGTGTCCTCAGAAAGAGTGACATGGCCACAGTCACCAGGTCCCTGTGGTGCCAGGCCCTGCATGCACCACGCTGGGGATGTTGGAGCAGGGCTGCAAGGCCCTGAAACATCTGAACCTTTCTGGAGTCCTCACACCAAAGTGTTGGCTGCTGCAGCCCTCGCACTGGTGGGCTGGTTGTCTCCTGCTGCCACCCGCAGCGTTTGGCTGACACTGACTGAGCTCCACCATGTAGCCGGCTTTGGCTTTACATGGCAGGACGAGTTTTCCTGCAGGAAGAGGCCCCCTCGAGATGGTAACTCACCAGCTGCAGCTTCAGGTTGGGCCGTCCCACCTTCTCCAAGATGGCAGCAGCTACGGGGACAAGAGATGAGYGCGTCACTGCTGGGCTGTGAGCTTCAGGTGAAGTCCTGGGACCCCCAGGCACCAGCTCTGCTCCCACAGCAGGTCCCTGCAGCCAAGGCACCCTCCTGGCTTGGTGCTTGAGCTGCAGCAAGGGAGCTGACTGAAGCCCATCCTTCTCCCGGGGAGCAGACTGTGGGGAGGGTCGTCTGCCTTACCTTGGTGCGGGGTGTTCAGAAAGTAGCGAGGGTCAGTGATACGACTGTTAATGGGCTCTATCAGTCCAATCATGTCCTCCTGTAACACAGAGATGTCCCCCCTTGGAGCAGCTCCCTCCCAGCCCCAACATACCCACGGGGCAGGCCCCACTTCCCAGCTACCTGGGCCAGGATGTCAGCCGCGTAGCGCAGGTTCTCAATGAAGGTGGTTTCCATCTCACCAGCCACTGCTGCCCGCTCCGCACCCAGGGGAACCCGCCCAGCCATCAGGTGGATCCTGCAGAGACATCAGCCACAGGAAATAGCTCCAGTCTCYAAACTGCTCAAGCACTAATGCATCTTCCTCTGCAGGTAGAAAATGCAGCCAGAGTGGGGAAGCAGACCCAGAACGCATGTCAAAAGCAGCTCTCCCATGCAGGAGGTGAAGCAGGCTCCACGAGCAGCAGGGATGCAAGCTGGCACAATTCAGGATCCCGAGGGAATACTCTTTGAACGTAGTAAGTGATAAATCAATAAATCACAGGCCCCTTTTGTCAGCTGCCCCCTCCTCCCTCAGGCCAAGGCCAACTCCACAGACTAGGAGTTGGGATCAGAGGTCTCGTAGGGTCTCGCTGCTGGAGCTGCCCCGAAGCCATCCTGATGGCCGGCAGCCGCGCTCCCTGCTAGCTGCTCAGGTTGCTCCCTGCTGGATCAGCTGCTCTGCCTCCCTGTGGGCCCTGGTCACAGGCTCRGAAGAGGGAGCAGGAGAGGTGGCAGCTGCTGGACTACGATGGCTGCACACAAAGYTCAACTGCAGGGCCCGAGCAAAGATCTTAAACGATTCGGTTAAGGGGCACTGTGAAAACAAAACAGACTATCATTTCTATTAAAAGAGAAAGCAAAATGACCCAGGCAACTGCAGACCTCAGTCTGACCTAGTCTGTAGGCAGGGCCRTAGATTATGTTTTGAGGGAAAGAATAATGCAGACATAAATGGCATAAAAATGTAACACTTGTTTTTCTGAAGTAGATTGTGCCAGGCTAATTGCATCTCTTGCAATATATGTACTGCACTTTGATCAGTGGGGACTTCACTAAAGCAGCTGTTATGGTGTCACAGTGGAAATTATGGTGTGAGAGGGGGCCGCACTCTGTGGAGATGAGGACAAGTGCCTCCAGGAGGCCTTACAGGGTCAGATGAGTGCAGAGACCCTCAGGACAGGTCAACTTTGGGACTGCTGTGAGTGAAAACATTAACTGTTCTATGTGAAATCATTGACTGTCTCAGGAGTGCAGGCAGGAGGGTGCAAATGGAGCCAGTTGTTGCTCCCAGCACAGGAGGCGCTGCTGGCACAGCAGAAAAGGCACCTGGTCCTGGGAAGGCCTCTGCCCACCTCGGGGCTGTGAGGTGCAGCGGTGCAAAGACCATGTCCTGTATGGAGGAACAGCTCAAGTGGGAGCAAGGGACAGTCAGGTTCAATCACCAGAGGCCCTGCAGGCGCCCACTGCCTAACTAAGATTGATTGCTTTAGGGCAGGACAGGAGCTGAGCTGCCCCCCAGCAGCAGGGGGAGGGTTTCTCTTACAGAAAGAGTTTGCTCTGTCGAAGGCAGCACTCAGCTGCTGCCCCGCTGCATACAGACATAAAAGTGTGGCCGCACCGTCACTCCTGCCGGGGCGGCAGTGCAAGCAGCGCTGCGGGCCGGGGGCACAGGCAGCCCCCGTGCACCTACCTGGGGCACTCCACAGCCCTGGCGTACTGCACGGCCAGGGCCAGGCCCTCGCGGAAGGCGGCCTGGCGCCCGGGCACGGCCCCCAGGCCCATCTCGCCCTTGTCAGAGTCTCCTGCGGGGGGACGCAGGGCAGGTTAGTGCTGACCCCCGCAGCCCCCAGGCGCCATCCCCGGCCCCACAGCCCTGCGACACGACGGGATCAGCTCAACCGCTGCGCTTCCCCCCTGCCCCAGCGCGGCCTCCGCCCGCAACGGTCCTAACGGCCGCGGCCCCTCAGGGCGGGCTCCGCCCGCAACGGTCCTAACGGCCACGCCCCCTCAGGGCGGGCTCCGCCCCCAGCGGCCGCGTCTCCTTTTCCCCCCGCCGGCTCCCCCCGCGCGGTACCGGGCGGCGTGTTGAGGAGCACGAGGCGCAGCCCGGCGCGCGCCGCCGCCGCGCGCAGCGCCGCCCGTGCCGGTTATGCCGCCGTTGCCGTGACGACGCGCGGGGCCGTTGCTATGGAGACACGCGCGGCCGTTAGCCTGACGACGCGCGAGTCTGTTGCCGTGGCGACGCGCGGGACCGTTGGCGTCGCTGGGGCCCGGGCCACGTGCGCGCGACTGCTCCCCTCGGCGCCGCCAGGGGCCGCCCGGCCGCGCGCAGCCTC